CAGTTCTCTTCTTCCTCAGCTTTTTGCCCTTTGTTGCATTTGTTCCATACATCAACATCTTTTAAAGTACTGTCTTCCAATAATATAATAAGATACAAACAAATATACCAAGTAAAAAAATGATTGTTGTTAGTTGCGAAGTCGTGTCTGACCTATCGCGACCCCATGGACAGCATTCTTCCAGGATAATTATAAAATATATAATTATATGCTAATTGTGTCATTGTAGAAATTGTGTTTGTAATTGTCTAATTTCAGAATGTAATTGGAATTTTTAGAAAGAAATGATTCTCTTGAAGGTACCCAAACAGGACAGGATTTAAGGAAAAGCTGTTGCTTAATGTCTGGCAGATTAAGGATATAGCATTTGAGATGGTGTGATGCATCTGTGCTGTGCTGTAGATGTCTGAGACTGTTAAAATAACATGAAAGGGTTTGATTTAATATCGGCCCACTTGTATAAAGAAACATAAATTTTCAGCTTGCTAAGTGTATGAAATGTCCTGACTCAGCTCTCCCTTTGAGGTAATGTCTGATATGGATTCCTTATTTTCATTATGTTAGATCTGTGTAGTGAACTTAGGGTAGAAGGAAAGGCTGTTTTGAATTCTGACTGCTAAGCAAGTGACTTCATTTGATCCTAGAATTTTTGCAAAAGATTAACGTAGATACACATAATAATGATACAGTAGAAAAGGCTTCCCCTTAAATAATTAATACCAAAGACTGAACATTAATCTGATTTTAATCCAAAGTGATTTTCACCTGCTTGCCAGCAAAGCCCAAAAGATATTCATTAAGAGGCGGTAATAACAGTAGAAAGTGAAACCATAGAATAAACCCAGTATGATTATGATAGGGTCTGCTTATACTCATGGCCGTTATATTTTTATTTTATATGCATTTATTTACAGAGACAATCCTGATGATATTAATTTTTCAAGTTATGGCTTTTTCTCATGTTGAAAAAAAATCTTTTGTGTCTTGACTAAATTATTAATATCCATGCATGCATATTACCAGAAGTGACAAGTCTGAGTAATTCTTACTAAAGTACTTATTTGCAGCAGAACCACTTGATTGCATAGCTCCTAGCATACAGAAATTTCTAATGGACATCGGTTTATTCTTATCATATTAATAAATTATAGACCTAACAATCCCACATGTGAGGTCTCATGTCTTAAGAGCTCTTGAAATCCACAAAAGATGGGAGTAGTGTTTTTGTGCTACCAAAAGAATCAAAAGGCAGATTTATGCAATACATTATCAAATCTAGTACAAAATATAAAATATACAGTTTCAGTTGCATGTATGGTAGTTGATCTTATAAAAGCAAAAATGTCATTTTCATGCATGCTATTTCATTGTTATTTGATGAAATGTCTGTTGGTGACTTCTAATTTTAACAATATGTTGACTTACTTAATAACATTTGCCATATTAAAATAGAATTTTCTATTGCACATCACTTTTTCATCCCCCTCAAATTCCCCCCAAAATTTGATTTTTTAAAAAAGGAATTTCTGATATCTATATTATTTAAGCAGAATTAAGAACATATGGTATTGCTTATTACATTATATTATATTACAATATAATGAAAAGCTGGTACATTGTATGGGCTATAAAATTTGGAATCTCCAGAATTCTTGTAGTAAAATAAGAACAAAAATACTGGAAAATGCAGTCAGTTTTTTCCTTAGCAAATTGATTCTTTTGATACATACTATTTTTGTCACATCTGTGAATATGTTCTCTGTATTGGCATTATGTGTAGTGTTACTATGCGCTATCTATTTGCATAGATATCTGAACAGATGAGGAATTAATGGTTTTTTTTCAGAGTTAGGAAATCCCTTTGCCTGATCTATTAATTGCCCTTCAGAAATTAAGGAATAACTTCAGTTCAGAGAACCATCCAAATTATATATATTTAATTTAATGGTACATGGGCTGATGTGCTGTTTTAGTAGTCCCACTTTGATCTCCACCCTTCTGTCTACGTGTTATAAAAGGAAAGAAGGCAATGTGAAAATAATAGGGCACTGGTTGCCATATTCCTGAAAAAATTTGATGCTGGTGGAAATAGTAAATTGAGATTTAGTGATGGATTTAAAAGACAGAGAGAAGAAATAGAACATAAGTGGTTGTCATTAATTTGTTCTTAGCTAGGGAGAAAAGAAGGACTTGGACAACTTATAATTAAAAAAGAAAATACCGACCATACCAAAAGTACATACAGACTTATGTATTATATCAAACTCTGCTGTAATGTTTGCAAGAAATGTGTCTGCAGTTTGACCTCATCCTGTCAGTTGCAGTAGACAGAACCTTTAGGTCCTGGTAGCTTTGGAGGACAAAGCTTTATTTTTGCTGTGTTTTATTAATGGCTGAAAACATGATCCTCTGCATTTGTTTGCGTACAATAATTTTTAAATGTGCTTTTGATACAGTACATGATAATACCATGATGTAAAAAAGAATATATCTCAGTGTTAGGCGGTCCAATGCTGTTGTCCGTGTCCATTTAATTATTTACATTTCTCTGTTACCCAGAAACCCCATAGATGAATTCATGTGTTCATGGTTCAGTTGAAAAGACCAAATGATTTTGAACTATTATCAAAGATATGAAAGCTTTCCAAGGAAAGCTTGTGCCCAAAAAGTATTTTGTTGGTTGGTTTGTTTAGAACTTGAAATAAAATGCTGCAAGCCCCACCCAAAGTGCATCCAACTGTTTCAATTTAGCTGCAGTTCAGTGAAACAAAATATGAAAGTTTAGTGTTTAGTGTTCTCGTCAAAACAGTTCTGAATGTTTTTGATGATGGAAACTATGGGGTTCAGAACAAGCCTCCTGGATAGCTACTAGGGAGCAGCAAAGAAATCTAGAAAAATTTGAAATCTTTTCAGCTATAATGTAAAGAATTTTTGCTGTCCATGTGTAAAGCCTTAGCCCTAGCATTCCTTGAATTCAGTGCAACAATCGTTTCCCCTGGAGACATAGGTATTTTCTTTGAAAGGAATGTAAGGAAAAAGATTAGCAGATGGCTTTATGTTTTAGGTCTCTTACAAGATCCCTTTCAATTTCTTTCTGGGCAGGAAGATACCCTGGCAAAAAAAATATACATTAATTCCAACCATTCCTTTCAAAATATTCTAACACCGAAAAATCGCTGATCTAATTGTTTACGTTCCTATCCAACTGCACTTCATCAATTATCCCTTCAAAATATTGAGTCAGCTTTCAGTGTTATTTCGAAAGCTTTTCTGGATTACAGTATTTCCATAAGCACATGCACAAATAACTACTTATTAAACTTTTCCATGTCCATGGAAACTTAGAAATGGACAATGTGGGAGAGTCTTCAAAGCAGCTATGCCAAGCATCCCAGATGATTCTGATGCCTATAATATTGAGGAGGGAAGTGTCTTGAAACAGTCCTTCAAATGTTTTCCACAACCACAGCTATTTACTGTATTTCTGAATAGACTTTGATACAAACTATGATGTATTGATTTTATATGAAATGTTTTGGACTGTGTAGTTTATTTATTCTTCAGGTTTATAACTCTCTGGTTTAGGAGCATTAAGTAGTATTTTTAGGACTCCCTAATTTTTTCCACAGTAACAACCCTGTGATATGTAAATAGATGTAGATCTTTCAGCTGCTTTGATACTTTTGGTATCTTACCTCTTGGCCAAGGACTCTTATTACTGAGCCTGGTCCACCATGATAGAAACAACCCTCACAGATTTCCCGTGAAGAATATTTATAATTATAGCCACTGGTAAATATGTTGTATGTGTAGAAATTGCATTGTTGTCTTGCTCTTTCTTTATTCAGAGCTCTCATAATTGTTCTACCCAATCAAGTTAGCATATGCATGCACATTGCAGAATCTCAGCTTCTGAGCCTTCCTCTCAAACATCCCATTGCCTCTGGCGTTATCTATCACCCACATGTGTCCTTCTCTAAATTCTGACTAGCCTTTTGGTATACAAAGACTCCATGGCAGGCAGCTGATAAACATAGCACATGCATATTTCTCTTTTTCCCTCACTCTTAATTTAGCTACGCAGTTTTCACCCCTATCCTGTTGCACCTATTTTGTTACTTAGTCCTTTGCCTAAGTGCATATCCTGCACTTTCTCATGGTTGTATATTGGAATTAAATATTTTCCTTCACATACATGTCATGCTAGTACTGCAACTTGTACTGCACCCTGCCTAATCTAGAAAGTTCTATAAACTGTGGGTGTGCAGCAGTTGAATGCCACAGAAGGTTGAAGACTCAAGGCTGTGCTTTAGCACTGCTCTACCTCTCCCCAGACTATACTCCTTCAGGCAGGAGGTCTGAAGCAAGATTATTTGCAATCATGAGTATGGCTCCTTGTATAAAAGGAAAACCCTGGCTAGTTTAGACCATTGAACTAACTTTAAAATTAATGCCAGTACTACTTCTCTGCAAATCTCACATCGGAATAAAAGGAATTTGAAGAGTCTCTAGCCAATTCATATATTTCCGTCTTCAGGCAGATAGCTTCATGCAGCTAGAGATATATTCTCCAACAGCAGGAATACTTGCAGAACCGGATATTTGATTTTCCTGAGATATCATGAAGAATTATTGTTTACCTGATTGGTTTTTATTGTATTTTGCAATTCTGAGCAAGCATTGTGGCCCTAGCAAATTAATTTCTATCTGGTACTTTCATTAACTGGAGTTAGGAACATCCTGCATTCAAAATAAATTATCCAGTCGTTGCTCAGATTAACTCCATGTGAAGGGAGGGTAGAGTTGGACATAGTGACTAGATGGAAAGAAGTCCCTTGTTCATCACCTGCAGGTGATCCTAGTCAGTGAACTATAATATGATATTTGTAACAATATTGGTATAAATAGTATTATATATAGATATTTTATAAATCAACCTTTTTTGTATACTTTTTAGATTGTTATAATTCTGAATCTCATGATTCTTCCTTTTATTGTAGGATAATCAACTATGACTACAGAATCTGGTTCAGACTCTGAATCCAACGATCAGGATCAAGAGCAGAAAGAAACATCTGGGCAACAAGAAAAAGTAACTCAAGAACAGCAGCCACAGCAAGTGAAGGAAGAGCACCAGAATGCATTAGAACAATTTCCCAGTGTTGCAGCCCATAGCACTCCTGTAAAAACGGAACAGGCAAGTTATTTAGGAAATCACCCTTCCTCAATATGGCACTAACCTAATGTGTTAGAGATTAGGATTATTATAGTAACAAGCATTAGAAATAAAATATTATAGCATGCATCATTTTGAGCTGCAGTAGTCTTCCATGAGAATTTTATAGAAATGATAGTCCAGTTCATTTGGAGAGAGGTAGCACATTTGCTGAGAGAGCCAGCACATTGTTACTCACAGAAATCAAAATGGATTCTAGAAAATATAACAAAACAAAATAAATGCTCAGTGTTGCTTTTTTCTTTTAAGGCTATTTTTACTAAAATTTTATAATGATAAGGTGAGCCGAGGTGGCACAGCAGTTAGAGTGCAGTACTGCAGGCCACTTTAGCTGACTGTGTTCAGCAGGTCAGCGGTTCAAATCTCACCGGCTCAAGGTTGACTCAGCCTTCCATCCTTCCGGGGTAGGTAAAATGAGGACCCAGTTTGTTGGGGACAATGTAAATATATATATACATTGCTTACTGGTGTACACCGCTTAGAGAGTGCTTGCACTTAAAGCGGTATATAAGTCTCATAAATAAATAAATAAATAAGCATTTATTGTGTAAAGTAGGAAAATTATATTATACGTTTTTAAATTTATTTCAGACACATATTTGGAGGGTAATTTGAGTCCAATTGTCTGCCCCCCAAAATTGATATTTTTCAGTCCATTAGCTGTTATGAAAAGGAGAGGATCTCCAATATCTAACATAATTTAGATCTGTTGTTGGATTTTGCTTGTATTTTTTGTTCCATGTTACTGGACTGGCTCTAAAGTAAAGTATTTACTGAAGTCAGTATGAATTTATTTTCCATGATTAATATATCTCACAAATATAAGCCATTATTTAAAAAAAATACTGTTGGTACTGAAAAGATCAACCGCTTGATTTGGAGCATATTTTCGGACTATTACAACATCTTAGATTTCTGAAATGAAACATGGTTGTTTAACAATCATTGCAGTGTTGGATCTTTTCTATTCAGGTTATTTGACTTTATTTTTAAATGAGCAACTATATTGCGGTTTCCTTTAGCACTTGTGTAAAAAAAAACTATACAACAGCAGAATAGTGGTTTCATTAACCTAAAATGCCTTCACAATTTATGAAATAAGTGATTTATCTTTTTTACAATACAGTTTATATGCTTATTTTAAAATGGGTTCTGAACAGGCTTTTACAAAGAGATGCCTGGTTATGCTCCATGATTCTGAAAGCCTGCTCTGACTGCCTATTTTTATTCTGAAACAAGAATTGAATTTTTCTGTTTCTAGGCCACTGACAAAGAACTTGAAGTTGCCGCCGCAGTGGCAAAGCAGCTGGAATATCAGCAGTTTGAAGACGATAAACTCTCTCAAAAATCATCCTCAAGCAAACTCTCCCGATCTCCTTTAAAGATTGTGAAAAAACCAAAAAATATGCAGTGCAAAGTAATCCTTCTGGATGGCTCTGAATATGGCTGTGAAGTAGAGGTAAAAATGAAAAGAGAGGAACTTCTACGGGATAGATTTATGCACATAATGTTAAATTAGGTAATTTAAGGTCGTACAGTGATTCCAGTGAAATTTCCTTTTTTAAAAAAAATATCTAAACAGAATGCCTCCCTCAATAAGGAAATATATACACATCTGTGTTTAGTGTTTTTTTGATGCATCCTGTTGGCCCAAATATGGGAGGAAGAAATCTTTTGCCTGAATCAGCCCAATCTACGGCTATTCACAGCCAGCAGTCGCTACCGCGACATCATTTGTGTGCTAAATTTTTTTGGATTGCTATCCCAGTCTCCCTTTAACTCTTTGTTAGCAATCTAAAAAATTTTAGCATACACATCTCTGTGTGTTTGTGTGTGTGTATGTATGTATACACACACACACATACCTGTGATACCAGAAGGAGTAAAGGACGGGAAACAATAGTATACATGAGAAATATTCTCTTTCAAAAAATCTTACATAATTATTGGTAATTAAAGTTTTCATGCAGAATATACTCTTTATAAATAAAAGACAACAATAGCACCTCAGGACATATTAGGATCCATTAGCTGTGTCTTTTTTGAAGGCTGCAGTATAAGGGCTTTTCTCAGTCAAGGCTTTTTAAAAATATATAATAATGCCTGACAATAAATGGTTTTGTACATTATATTTAGAGTACTAGTTACAGATTTGGATAAGATATTCTATTTCAAAAAAGTCTATATGAGATGGGAAAGGCAATAAATTGATCAAAGAGCTAGAGCATTTTATTTGTGAGCAAAATTACAGTATTGTTCAGAACTCATTAGCTTATGAAACAAGATATGCTGCAATCATATTTTTTAAATAAATCCTTGTATAAAACATTAGTTAAATTAATTGTTACTTGATTTGGAACAATCAAAGTTATAATGTATAATTGATTTGGAGAATTTTTTGTCCCAAGGTAATAGGATTACTTTTTTAAAAAAGTAATGGAGGCCAAAGCCAACAATAGTTGTGACAACGTCGTAAGATTTCCAGATTTATACCCAACATTTTATTGTATTGTGCCGGTTGCTATGCCCCACATCCACCAAGTGATTCAATTTCTTGTCGCAGAAGCTAAGGAGCTGTCCAGCAGATCATGATTTAAGATGATCAAAATAGGGAGCTGTCCAATGAAAATAAGGAAAACACATATCTGAGATTGTACTTCCATTGTTGTACTTTTATGTGGCTGGCTTTACTCATTTGTCCATTCTAGATAGACTTTCTTTAAGCTCTGATGTAGCACTATGAGAAAATAGTTCTCAAAAAAATAAGTCATTGATTTTGTGCTGAAAGATAGCTGAAACTTAAGTTCTGCATTTCCTGTTAAATTTGCTGTCACCATTGATCTTGGAAGTAATTTTGATGGATCCAATCTGAAGGAAATCCCCATATATAAAAGAAATGGAACAGTGTGCCAAATCTGCAGCATTTTGTACATCTGAAGCTGAATAGAATCTTAGAAAAATATAATAGTGCAACATTTATCAATATTATAGGCAACATGGGCCACTTCCTTTATTGAAGAAGAGAAGTGACCTTACTGTAATTTGGAGGTTTATATTGAAAAGGAGGGTGTTTAACTTCTGTCATCTTGTCTCTATACTGGAGGAGCAACCCACAGTTTCTTTCTTAATATGTTTGGGATTACCTGTCTATTTTAGGATGCCAAATCAAAAATATTTGATATTTGATTGGCTGGGATTATGGCCTTTTCTACTTTATCTAAAGTAGCTGTTACATCCAGCAACTATTATAGATTTGTTTGCTGTAGTTCATATCTATGAGACGATGAATAGAAATTTGTCACATTTTTCTGTCAGTAACATCTCCCTTGAGTTCTTACAAACTCCTGCTTAAATCATCAGTGATAGTATCTAATCATCTTGCCTCCTATCAGCCTTTTTTATTGCTTTCAATTTTTCCAAGTGGAAGTATTTTCCAGTGACTTTTGCCTTCTCATTATGTGTCAAAAGAATTGAAGCATTATCTTCATTATCAGTGCTTCCAATAAGCAATTTTATTTCATCTGGTAATGAATAATCTATTTGCAACAATTTTCAGCATCAGATTTTCCTTGCTCAGTCTTTTTTATGGTGCATTTCTCCTGCTATATGTTACAACTTGGGAAACTATGGCCTTGACAATGGATACAAAGCATATCTGAAGTTTATATTGCTCCCAACAATTTTAATTCCAGTTTTTAATGAGGATTTCTTATTATATATTTTGCATATAAGCTAAATAAATTAGAAGACAGTTTACAATCTTAATACACTTTTTTCAGTTTTGAATCATTTATCTGTGCTGTATTCTGTTCCATCTATTGCTTTTTGGCAATCAAACAAATCATTGTATAGGATGATAAGATGACATGTTTTAAGGATGATTCTTTTGTTTATGTCCCTTTGAGTCACTGTTGCCTCTTGGCGACTGCCTGGATGAGTTTCTGCAGTTCTCTTAGAAAGATTTCAGATTTGTCTAGGGCTGAGTGAATGACTGCCCAAAGGCAACAGTTGATTCCATGCCTACGGCGAAATTAGAATTCAATCTACCAATTTCTAGTTTGGTGCCTTAATCACTACACCAGGGGTCGGCAACCTTAAACACTCAAAGAGCCACTTGGACCCGTTTCCCACAGAAAAGAAAACACTGGGAGCCGCAAAACGTGTGTGCGCATACGCGCCGGAAGGGGAAAGGCTTGATTGAAGAGTTTAATTAAAAAGAAATAGAGGCTGCTGTGCATGAGTTCTCTCTCTCTCCTCCTCCTCCTCCCTCCCTTTTTCTCTCTCTCCCTCTCTCTCCTCCTCCCTCTTTCCTCTCTCTCTCTCTCTCCCTCTCTCTTTCCTCTCCCTCTCTCTCTCTTTCCTCTCTCCCCCCTCTCTCTCCCTCTCTCCGATCTTCTGCTCACTTGGCAAACTGGCTTCACGCTGCTCTCCCACAAGCTGACACACATTCTTATTGGGCTGGCTCTCTCCTGCCCTTGGTCTGCAAGTCCTCTTCCCCCCCTCAGTGTGTGTGTGTGTGTGTGTGTGTGTGTGTGTGTGTGTGAGAGAGAGAGAGAGAGAGAGAGAGAGAGAGAGAGAGAGAGAGAGAGAAAGAAAGCTGCTGCTTTCTACGGAGATGCAGCAAAGGCAGGAGCCCCGCCCAATAAGCTTGTCAGCTTGTCGGAGAACAGCATGAAACTACTCTCTTTTTTACACACACAGAGAGAGAGGGAAGGGAAGCGCAAGTGCCTCTCTCTGTCTCTTGTCTCTCTCTCTGCAAATGGCGGCGGATTGGGAGCCGCAGGAGAAGGCTCAAAGAGCCACTTGCAGCTCTGGAGCCACGGGTTGCCAACCCGTGCACTACACCAATGGTCTACACAGTCAATCTTTGTATCATCAATAAAGCAAGGATCAAAATATTTGTCAAATTCCTTACTTTTTCCATTAAACACTAGATTTTAATAGTGTGATCTCAGGTCTTCTGACTCTTAAGATCCAGTTTATATATTTGACAGTGCCATTCCATACATAGTTGAAATCTGGATTGCCAACCCTTGAATATTATTTTACTAGCATGCAAGATAAATGTAACTGTTCAGTAGTTAGACCATTCTTTATTACTTCCTTCCCTCCCTTCATCAATCTTTTTTGGTCACCTGGACCACTAGACAACCTCTACCTCCATACCTGCTTAGAAATTTTATGTAGCATTTTAAATGTGATCTTAAAAAGGTAATTAACATTACAATTATCAGCACACACAGAAGCACTGTTGCTGGAATTGATGGTTATATATCATTTGATGTTCTGAACATTAAACATAGCTTTTTCAAAGTTCTTTCCAGGTTGAGTGTGTATGCATAGAGGCTGGGATTGGCATTCAATTATTGCTAGTATCATTAAATCATTTTGGAGAATGAATTATACATGCATGTTAGAAATTGTTCATTTCAACTAATTCTAGCTTTTTAAAAGAACATGTAGTTCTGTTTCCTATCTCACTTATCCTGTGCTTCTTCTAAACACATTTAGAGTTCTCTGTCAGCTACTTGTCACTTTCTATGCTTTTCCCATATATGCTACAAGAATAAAAGACTATACCTTGAAAAAGATGTAGAAACTCTGGAAATTATATCAATCACAGATGTCAAATTACTATGAAAAAGCGAAAGCTATCACAGCACTAGACCACATTAAAGAAGCTAGAGAAGCAGTGCTTTGTAATATTGGAATGATGAGACCCAGGAGACAGATGACTGATTTAGTATTGGAATAAGAGCCTTCTGGATTGAAATGATGACGTCCAGAACAGAGCGTCATTTCAATTCCAACACTTGAATTTATTTGACTTATAAGCAAGCTAACAACCTGCAAAGTAATCAATTGCTTTTCCTACTAAAAGCATATTAATAGCTATGTATCTGAATTATTTTCACTGATAAAATTAAAATAGTGAAAATTAATTTGATCTGATCTCAAAATCAGTCTTATCACAGTCTTATCAAGAATTGGTTGTCCTTTGTTGAATGTTTGTTTGGCTGTTTGCTTAGCTTAGTACTGGCTTTTTCAGATTGTTAGCCCAACAAGTCGTTGCATTTCTTAATGATTATTCCACTTAACTGCTGAGCTTGTTTGTTTTGCACCGCAGTCACCTAATTCTTAACAGCTAAACTTATCAGAGCATGACATCACGAAGAATATGGCAAATAATAAGCAACTTCTTAAGCTATTACTGTATGCTATGCATTTCTTACTACAGTATAGCTGCTCTTGACACAGAGAAATGAAGATAAAATATACAGGCATTATATCTGTTGCAATCCAAAGGAGAAAGTATTCAGTTTTGCATCGTTTCTGTGCAAATTTATTTAATAATGTCTATTTGCATAGCTGCTCTCTGAGTTTGCAATTTACAAATTACTATCCAGTTTTTGGCTACAATAAGCTATAGGCATTTACTTTTTATTATGTTCCTCTCTG